CAAGGACACTCCTTGGCAAGAGAGACATATAAGATCTCTGCCAGAAACTTTCCATTTTGTTCTTCTAGCTGCAACTGCTACCTAGTTAGCTCTTTTCAGCTATCATAACCTGCAAACCTATAGGCCAGACTCCCTGTTCTCTGTTAAGATGAGAGGAAAATAAGAAAGCTGGAGACAGGAGAACCGAAGTATCAATTAATTTATTAGAGTTGGTGACAGGTATCTCTTCTCCTGTTTACTTCCCCCCCCTCCATTTTGAGGCTTTCTTAGTTGCTTTTTGTATGCTTGGTCCTCGATCACACACCTTCTCCACTTCCTACAGACCTCTGGGCTGCCATCTATATAAGCCTCCCGCTTTGCCCTCCTGGGCTCTCTTGATTCCAAACTAAGAGTCAATACACCCAACTGGTAAGGTAACATCCAACATTTTCTTCTCTAAGAATCTCTTTTATTATTTTCCCTATAGATTCCTTATTTTAAAAGATTATATAAATGAACCTATTTATAAGTCATAGTTTTAGTTCCAAATTTAAAAATTAAAGATATAAATGGCCCCAAACTAAAATGTTTAATCAGTATGTACTCATACATTTTCTTTCATTGAATTGTTTTATTCAAGTTAAGAGTATACTGTTGAAATTTTAGACTAATCATGATTTATTTTAAGAATTTAAAAATATTGAAAATAACTTTCAAATACCATTATATTATCTTTCATTAGCATGACAGGGATTTTGTTAGAATTCCTACAGACTTCATGATCTTGTGCAATTTATTCAATCTTAGTTTCCTCATCTATAAAATGTAGATAATAACAATGCTGACTTCAGTGTTATTGTAAAGGTTATTTGAGATAATGTAAACGTGATTTGTAAAGTTTAACATGCTATATAATGTACATTTGCTTATCTGACTTCTGGCATCCTTGTCTCCAAGACTCTTTCTAGATTGGCATATGGCTCTATTTCCCTGATCTTAGCTCCTCATCTTAATCTACAGGGACTTAAAACTTGAAGCTGCATATCTTCTATTTCATCTTCCCCAAAACCAAGTCCCATGTGCATTAGGAAGTCCCAAGTAACCTCAGATCCTAAGTCAAAAACAAAACTTAGTGCTTTTTTCTCCAAACTTACTTCTCCTAGCTATCATTTTGGATCAATGATTCCTCTATCTTCTCAGTGACCCAATCCCCAAATCTTGGGGCCAACCTTGAGTCTCACTGATTCTACTTCTATACAATCTCATGTTCATTGAGACTCTTTCCAAATGTCTCACACCTAACCTTTCCTTACTCCCCCACCATCATCTTTGCCCAGGCCTATGTATCTAGGATTAAACTGAGTAACAAAGACAAGGTCTATGACTAATCAGTATTTCCTAAATATGTAGGATAGTGGTTGGTAAACAGCAGCTGTTCAATAAATGTTTCTTGAATAAGTCAATGATAAATAAATTATTAAATGAATATATGGGTAATTGTGGAAATCAATCTACTAATTTCCTATCTCTAGACTGTGTTGTTTCCCAACCACTCTATATAGCACTTCCAGGTTAATCTTTATAAAATGTCATTTTCATCATGTCATAATTTGACACAAAAACCTTCAATGGCTTCCTATTTTCTAAGATGATGAATTTAAAATTTACTATCTAGTATTAAACTCTTGTTAAATCTGTCCCCTACCTTATCTATTCAATTGTTTTCCCATTTCTCTTCTCCAAGCCTGCTAGTCTTCGCAGTTGAAAAGGCCTCCTATGTTTATTCTCCATGTGGTTTTCATTCATCTTATTTTTTCCTTCTCAGAAAGCTTGCCCTTTTCTTTTCTGCATGCCTGAGTCCAAGTACTACTTTACCCTTGAAATCTTTTCAGACTACAATAGCCCATATTAACCTCCTCAAGGTTCTGATTGCTTATTCTACTTACACCACCTTTTAATCACGTGTTATGATGCACTGTAATCTGCACTGAGCTAGCCACTATGACTAGACTCTAAGATCCTTGAGGTAGTGACCTTCTTTCTAATTCCAAAGAGCACTAGCCATGGTACTAGCACACAGTTCAAATTCATTTGATACCTCTTGACTTGAATTAAATATGAGCTGAACAGATGGTCTCATTCAGAATGCCAAAGTACGGATAAGGAGGAAGGCAAGGAAATGGGCTTTCAGACTCACCATAGACCCAGATGTTGGTGGAACTCTGGAGTGCAAGTGTGTTGATATAATGAAGTAATGATGACAGATAGTGTTCCTGCATCATGGTGTCCACATCATTTGGACATTCCCAGACCTTTCTGCTACTCTAGGTTCCTAGCATTCTGGAATAATTTTCTCCTATTCCAAAGTATAGCATATGATCATATGCTAATAATCTGCCAGGAAGGCAGAGCGTACTTACAATTTTCTCCAGCATTCTAAGAGATATGAGCGTACTAATTCATATATAGTCTATTACTATCTCTGCATCGCAATGTTTCATTCTTTCACTTTGGCTAATTTGCTAACATGTACAAAGAGGATTTCAATTAATGAAAAGCACATTAAGAGTTGAGGGAATCTTGGCTCTAGTGTTGGTTCTATTCACCAACTCTCAGATCTTGGTCAAGTCCCTTAATCTCTATGACCTTATTTTATATATTTATAAAATGAAGAGTAATGCTTATCAAGCCCATGACATACTTATTTGAAGATCAAATAAAATAATATAAATATACTACGTATACTCTCCATGGAAGGGGATAAAGTATTATCATCAAGAGAAAACATTTGTTGAGGCCCTACCATGTGCAAGGCACTATGGTAAACTGGGACTACTAAGATATATGAGACTTGGTCACTGCCCTCAAGAAAAATAAAAAAGTAATTATCAACATGAAGTAGTAAATTATGTATGCCAATAAGTAGTAGAGGTACTAAAGGCTATAAAAATTCAAAAATAATTTGAAGAGGTGAGGGAAAGCTTAATAGAGAAGAGAGACCAAAGCTGGATCATGAAGATAAAACAGAGAACGGTGGTAGTTGGCCTCCTAGATGGCCCCTGATGGGTCCCCTGGTATTTATGCCTTTGTGTAACCAACCCCTTCCTCTTCAGTGTGGGCTAAACCTACTGACTCACTTCTAACAAGCAGAATAATGTAGAAGGGATATCTCTTCTAAGATTAGGTTACAAAAAGACTGTGACTTCCATCTAAGGTACTCTCTTTCACTCTCTAGGTCTCTCATCAGTTACCATGTTGTGGAAATAATCAGGTAGCCTAAGAGAGACATGGTGAGGAACCAAGGCCTGCCAGTAACCATATGAGTAAGCTTGGAAGCAGATCTCTCCTCCCTCTACCCCTCATCAAGTCTTCAGATGAGATTGACCCAGCCAACACTTAGATTGTAGCCTTATGAGAGATCTTGAGCCAGAGGCACTTAGCTAAGCTGTGCCCAGATTCCTGATCCATAGAAACAAGGAAATAAGAAGTATCTGTTCTAAGCAACTACATGGGTAATTTGTTACACAGCAATAGATAACTAATACCTTCTAGGCAGTAGGTATGGAACTGTGATCAATATAGAGTAGTCTGAGATGACAGACGTTTATGTCAGCAAGGAGACCTAGGTAAAAACAGGAAGGCCAGGGAAGGGCTGCCTCTACCAAAGGATGATGGATGCTGGTGGTACTACATTCATGTGGGGGCAAGGGAGACACAGGTAATGTACACCAAAGCTCTGCTCCCCACTACTGAGTGCTGGGACTTGGCTATGTCTATAGCTTTCCATGACTCCTTATGCCCTACTTTGGAAACTTGACTTTGGAAACTGCCTGCTATTATTCACTTATGCTGGAGATATACATACACATAAATGCAAATAAGGGCAATAGGATTTTTAAGCTTAGCACAAAAGGTTACTCTACATTCACTCAAATTCAGAATGCCTATATGTAAGAAGGTCCAAGGTGAGGCAAGGACACTTTTTTTTTTTTTTTTGAGACAGAGTCTCGCTTTGTTGTCCAGGCTAGAGTGAGTGCCGTGGCGTCAGGCTAGCTCACAGCAACCTCAAACTCCTGGGCTCGAGCGATCCTTCTGCCTCAGCCTCCAGAGTAGCTGGGACTACAGGCATGCGCCACCATGCCCGGCTAATTTTTTATATACATATCAGTTGGCCAATTAATTTCTTTCTATTTATAGTAGAGACGGGGTCTCACTCTTGCTCAGGCTGGTTTTGAACTCCTGACCTTGAGCAATCCGCCCGCCTCGGCCTCCCAGAGAGCTAGGATTACAGGCGTGAGCCACCACGCCCGGCCAAGGACACTTATTTTTAACTCAATTCTAATTTTATTAATCATCTCTTAGGATATATGCAATGGATATTTCAAGCAAGTTATATTATTTTTGTTTTGTTTACCCTGGATACCAAAATCATCTTTATAATAAAGCACATATGACATTGTAAAGTACCATGTGATCTAAATAGTGTAAAAACCTATTTGCATTAAAATGTTCCCTTTAAGAGTTGAATTATAGATATCTTTCACTAAAAACAACAACAACAAAAACGAAGTTTACCATAGTGCCTTGCACATGGTAGGGCCTCAACAAATGTTTTCTCTTGATGATAATACTTTATCCCCTTCTATGGATAGTATATGTAGTATATTTATATTATTTCATTTGATCTTCAAAATAAGTATGTCATGGGCTTGATAAGCATTACCCTCATTTTATAAACCTGAAATAATTGTAGGAACCTGAAATAATTGTTGTTTTAGGAACATTTTAGGAACCTGAAATAATTGTCAAGCATTAGAACTCAATAGAAGTAACCTACGATAAACTTCATTAAAGTCCAACTTCTGCCATTAACTTCTTATGCAAAACTTCTACTGAAATTCGTAGAAAGGATATGACCAAAGCCAAGAAAATTTTGCCTTTATCATCATCTTACCTGAGTGAGAAAGGTTACTTTTTAAAATTTTATTTACTTTGGGCTCTAAAATAGCTATTTTACTTACCATTTGGAAGACTCAGGAGTATATAAGTTCGAATCAGTAACAGGAGTCGTTAACACATTATGGTTTACAACATGTAAATACTTCTCAATGTGAATCTGTTACAGAAAAGTCAAAGTTTAGGCGATTATAGTGGATTTAAGATACTCAGCTAATTTACTTTATTTCATTAGGTTAACACTCTGAATCGTGTAATTAAGCCAAAAACACAACATGCTATGTGTTATTACACGCCTAAGGTATCATTAAGCATCTTAAGGCCAAATTACTTCAACTATCCCAAACAGCATAATAAATAACTGAAACTCAAAGCCTGAGTGACCTGTAGCATTCTTTAAAAATGAAATTGTGCACAATCGTCTGTAAATTGCTTAGCCAGGTACTAGGCAATACAGACATGGAGCAATGTCTTTTTCTTACAGGAACTTCCCTTTTTCCAAGCAAAGCATTTGGCCTTTAGGTAACAGGTTATTTAAAATGGCCAACCCAAAGACTCCAGCTGGTAATCATTACCAGGTAATATAAGATAACAATGTGCTAGCCAGCCTGAAGGGGATACAAAACACACATTTCTCACAGCCTCAGGAAAGAGATAAAGCTGCTAACAAAGCAGAGTGAAAGTCTGAAGCAAAACCAGAGACACTGAAAATAAGAGGTGGAAAAGATGGAGATGGACTTTATTTGGAAGATGGATCCCATTAGCTAATGCATCCTTGTTTCCTAAGTAAATATTATCCTGGCCTTCCCTGCCCTTAGCTCTGTTTATAATGATGAAATTCCTATTACTTTATTTCTCTGTTCCAAAATTTGTATATTTCTTTAGTTTTACCCACTTGACTACAACATCACAAAAGTGAATAACTTGACTGGGTGTGGTGGCTCACGCCTATGATCCTAACACTCTGGGAGGCCTAGGTGGGAGGATCACTTGAGGTCAGGAGTTCGAGACCAGCTTGAACAAGAGCAAAGACCCCCCGTCTCTACCAAAAATAGAAAAAATTAGCTGGGCATGGTGGCGCATGCCTGTGGTCCCAGCTACTGGGGAGGCTGAGGCAGGAGGATCACTTGACCCCAGGAGTTTGAGGTTGCTGTGAGCTAGACTGACTCCATGGCACTCTAGCCTGGGGAATAGAGTGAGACTCTGTCTTAAAAAAAATAAAAAAACTCAAAATAGCTAAGCTCTTAGGGAAAAGTCAATTCTTATTTTTAGTATCCTGGTAAATCCCAGTAAATCTGCATTGTATTGGTATGAAACCTTTTTGGTTAGGCATATTGTTGGATTGATAGTAATTATATTTTAAACTCTAAGGTCTTTTTATCAAACCACATTTTAGGAGTTGTCACTGCATAATCTTACATTTAATCTACTTAAATTCTTTGTGGCATATGACAAATCAATCAGTTAATAATTATAATTATCATTAAAAAAACCAACAAAATAAGAATGCTGATGACTGCCCTAAAATAAATTCAACTCTGTCACGGCTGTGATTGCATTTGAAAAAGAAAAAAAAATAAAATAAAAAATAAAAAATAAATTCAACTCTGTTAAAGAATTACACAGGGTTCCACCACAATTCTTTCTTTCTACAGGTTTCTTTGTCTCCTTCTAGTATTCTGTTTAATATCTAAAGCTCTACTTACTTTTAACCCCATTTCAGTCCTTTTGATTGCTGTTTCAAGATTCTGAATGTCTAATGTCTCTCCTTTTTTCTTACGTGAGAATTTGGTTAACTTTTCCTTTAATTCATAAAGGTCTTCATAAACCTGTAAGTGTAATATAAAATATTGAAAGAATATAGACATAGTCCATCTATAGCAGTTATTTATCTTAAAGGTCTGTAATACGCTTGAGTTGCTAGAGCCATAAAGTTGATTTTATGGTATTTATTGAAAAGGACCACCTCTATGGTTCTGAGATATTCTCATTATTTAAATGTTCCATAATTGTCCCTCAGATTTTGAAAAACAATGCTTTCATACAATTTCTGTGATTTTTCCCCCTCTCATGAGAAATAGATTTAAGATAAAACTGCAACTCAAAGGCTTCTGCTTTCTCAGGTGGTAAAACAGGTAAGCCAGGGATGATAAGAAGTTTGTGTCAGATAAGAAGTTTCCAATTGGTTAAAAACCAATTGGAAAAAGAACAGAAAACTTCCAGTAAAGAAGTTCTAGTGTCTTTCAAAAGAGTATTATAAATGTATTGGCAGGACCTGTTAGTTTTCTACCCTGGCTGGATCTTCCCCACTTACTGCTCTAAAGAAGCAGTTCAGTAGGTGTTGTGGCCTTGGTTTTGTTTCATGTAGTGAGAAATTAAAATAATCCCTGAAGAAAAAGCCACATGTTATTGCTTTAACATTTCCCTTCAATTTGTATTTTTCTTGGAAATGATGAACATCTCTCCAATAATGTCAGGCACCCTCAGAATAAAATGGGCACTATGAAATTAGAAAGCACAAGATTCTCTGCATTCATATCAGAAACCAAACTTCAGATAAATACAGATGGCACCAATTATTGTATGGGCCGCTGCCACAAGAAAAACATTTTTTATGCAAATTTATGAATCCAACACCTGTTTCGGCAATAGTCACACCAATAACAATCTGCAGACTGGGTTGCTAAAGGCATTTTGAAATGGTTACCTTTTCTGTTAGTATAACTGGACTCACACATTGATCTAACCTATGCCATTGATTACTCTCGAATGTTCTCACAGAGCCAAGTATTCAAAGATCAGAATTTGCATCTTTTCACTGATGGGCATCACAGTCTGGTAGACACATTCTGGTCTTTTGTATTCTGCACAAATTGTCATGTAAAGCCTTCAAGGCTCACAGATTGAAATCTGAACATACCTACTCCTTGCTTGTAGGCATTAGGGTGAATATGTACTTCTTTCGATGGTTTTGTCCAACTTACTGCTGCAAGCTGATTTATCAGCTATTGTCTGAAAACGTTTGGAAAGTATAAAGAGGTAGTTCATGGGCAAGGCCCTTTCTAGGCCCCTATTTTTCACTTTCTCTTTGAGCTGATTTTCCTTCCTCTAGTATCTATAGCTTCATATATCTTTCTGAAATTATGTCTTTGAACTGCCAGAGGGAGTGAAAACTGCCCTGGATTACTCATCAGGGTACCAAAGGTTTGGTTTTTTTATTTGTCTTGTGTGGACAACAATACTTGTTCATAGAGTTGTGACATAATATATAATAGGCTTGGTATATAGCAAAAACTCAACAAAAGGCAAGTGAACATAATTCCTAGTGCTGTCACTTACTAGTCACATGATCTCCATATACATCATCCAAATTATCTGAACCTCTAATTTCTTCATCAAAAAAAAAAATACCCTACTTGTTAGAATTCTTTTTTTTTTTTGTTAGAATTCTTGACTGAAAATGAGGTAATATGTATGAATATGAATCAATATAAGCTTTGGTGACAATAGGCATGTACTGGAATCCTGCTTCCTCCTTTACTAAACTAAGCTTGGAAAGTTACTTAACCTCTTAGAGGCTTAGTGTTCTTATCTGTAAAATAGGGATAACAGCTACCTTAGAATAGTGGCAGGAATAAAATGAGTTAAAATATGTAAAGTACCTCATATAGTGCTAGCCACATAGAACAAACGTTAATTTTCCTTTACTGAATTATATACTGAAACTCATTACACTATAACTGATACTCAGTAAATGTTCATTGGATTGAAAAACAATGCTCCTTTTCTTGCCATATATTTTCTTCTCCCCTCTTCATAACCACTTGTTTGTTTAACTATAATGGAGACAAGTCCTGTAGAAAATGTTATATTAGACTTGGGTAGGAAAAGAGATTTTAAGTTCTAAATCATTTTTTCTTCAAATAAATCCAGTCTACCATATTGAAGTTTTACACGTCACCTAACATCTCAGTGATCATCAAACACATTACTTTCTATAAATTTTCTACTTGGAGAAAGATTATTATTTTGTTACTTTAGGGACAGAGATGCTTAATAAGAAGAAGCCCTTCAAAGATTTTATGTAGCAAAGATTTGCTCTAGAGTGCAAAAGAGCTATGAAACCAGACTCAATATTATCAGTAGCAATATAAAATTCCATTTTATTTATATCTGCTAAAGATAGAGTTTGGCTGAGTCATTCTCATCACTTTAACCTCATTCATGTTTATATTGTATACACCTGGCAAATCAGAGGGATTAATAGGAAAGACAGTGACAATATCAAACTGTCAACTAGTCCCAATATTTCCAAGGCTGATGTTAACATACAACTGTTGGATTTTTGAAATATAATTTCCAAAATGAATTAAAAAGCTAATTTTGATCACAAGACCAGGTAATTCTTTTTGTACAAACATGTTTAATAGTTAAGTCAAATAAGCATTTATAAAGATATGTTAAAAAAGATACTGCATTATTAATGAAGCATAAAAGCAAAGCTTTTAAGAGTTACTAGTTAAATAAAAAACATTTAGGAAACATCCCAGTGTCACTACCACACTTCTTCAAGATTACTTCACAAACATGTCATAGCCTATTTAAGGATCTAAAAAATTGTATATGTCATACTGGGCAAGTTACTTTACCCCTTTGTACTTTAGTGTCTTCTGTAATCTGGGACTCAAAATGATACCTGCCTAATACCATTGTTGTTAGGACTTAATGAGATAACCCAAAACTCTGAGCACAGTGTCTAGCTCTCAATGACTATTGGCTATTATTTTACTCATGTTGATGATTACTAGCACTATAGTAAAACCTCACTATTCTGATTAGCTGAGGAAAGATCCAGCTAAAATTGTAAAAAGTCTAAATTATAGACTTGAAAGTAAAAGAAAGTAGTTAACAAAATGCTGCCTAGTAGAATTCTATGTGGAGATGGTAATCATATTTCCTGAACCAACAATGAAAACATGGACTTTGATACATGATCTGACAATGGCATAGAATATTCACGCTCAGAATATCCTGGAAAATTAAAACATTTAATGTTTTCATAATAAGTCACAAAAGGAGTTTATAATTAGAGCACTGAATGTAAATATTTTCTCTTAAGTATTTTAGGCATTTTCTCAAAATGTTACTTTTACTATTAATTTGTACCATCCATGAAAAAAGAATTTTCTAAATAATGCTAAATTTTAGTCTAGCTTCATATATTTTTGAATAGAGCATAAATTATTGGAGGCTGAATTGATGAATAGATCATTATCTAGTTGATCAGCACCTATGAGCCCAGTCCTGTGCTGGGTATAATGGGATATCCAAAAACCCAGCTTGTAACTAACAGAAAAACAAGGCATATCTTGTTTGCCAAATAGCAACAACCATAAAGTTCCAGTTAAGAATGAAGTAGTCCTAATTAATAAGATAATAATAATTTTTCCTTTTATTCTATGAACTTAGAATAAGAAGCAGCCTAAACTTAAAAAGACAGGAATGTACACAAAACTAAATAATATTAAATAGTAAGAGACCAGACCAGATCTTATAATAACCAAAATTTACTGTTATACTTTATGTTTTATCCTATATTTTAATCCTTAAAAAGACCCCTATGAGGGAGTTAATATTATTATATTCATTTTATACTTGAGGGAATCTGAGACTTAATGAGGCTAAATAAACTGTGCAAGGTAACACAGCTGGTTAATTGGCAGAACTATTCAAATCCAGGCAGTCTGACTCCAGAACCTTCCAGCTTAACCATTAACTAGTACATGCTTAACACGTATAAATATACAAATTAATACTTATAAATACATAAAGTTAAAGATTGATAAAAATTCAGTGGAAAAGGCAGGATTTAAATATCTAGAGGAGAAAAAGGGGACAAGGGGAGACTTTCTTTTCATACAAGAAATGAGGGATTGAAAAGGTTTGAGAAGAATGCTTGCATTTTCTATGTATAGAGACCTACCCATCCCCAGAGTTTCTGATTCAGTAGGTCTGGGGTGGAGCCTGTGAATTTGCAGTTCTTATGAATTCCCAGGTGGTGTTGATGATGCTGGTTCTGGAACCATGTTTTAAGAATCATTGGTCTAAAGAGCTGCTTAATGTATTTGATTGAAACACAGACCTAATATGCCATATTGGGGTAAAGCAACTGGAGATTTAAAGTACCCCTGCTTTATAGTCAATTACACACACACACACACACACACACACACACACTCCTTCACTTGCCAGAAATAATTTGATTGCCTAGGCTAAGAGTAAAGGAGGTCTACTTTTATAGTAAAGAGAAAGTATGTAGCTTTGGGGAAATTAGGTAAATTTAGAGTCAGAAGTGGATCTTATCCAAACTATGTATCGTACAGAAAAGGCAATTGAGGTCCAGTAAGGTGAAGTGACTAGCCCAAAGTTGCCCATTTATGAGGATGTCAAAGCCATGGTCAGATCTCTATTCTGACTCCCAAACAAGTGCTCTTTCCACTAGACCTATTGGTTATTGGTAGCCTGTTTGAAGGAAATAAACCATAGCCCCAAGTAGAGATGGAATTCATTTTGGCATGCTTCAGAGTAATGCTTCATGCTCATGAGTGAGTACTCAGGAGTCATTGGGAAAGTATGTAAAGTCTTCCAAATTTCCTCATTATACATACACTATATGTACCGAAGAGAATTTCACATTATACAGAGATCAGCCTCAATAATTAGGTTAACATGTAGGCTTTCTTCCTCTACACAGCTCTCCACTTAGCGTGTCTGCAGTAACCCTTTTAAACAAGTGAGGGCACTGATTAATTAACATGGATATGACTATTCTTAGATCTTCTGCCCTGTTTTACAATTTGATGTCAACAGATATCTGTTAGTGTAATGTTGTATCCCAGATTGACCAAACAGCTCCCTCTGGATCCCACACTCAAGTGAAAAGGCTCCTGGCTTTAATATACTATTCTCCACTATTCCAAACCACAAGGGAAGCAGACCTTGGAAATAGAATTATCTCAAGGGAAAGTATGAAATTGAGCATAAGAATTTTCTCCAGGTTCTGGTCTCTATTTCAGAGATGTTCCAGGTCTGGAAAAATAGAGGAAACTAAAAAGAAAATTAATTGCTTTTATACTCCACATGAGATATACTGCCAGGAAGAACCAGTCATTTCTAGGTATGAGTCTCCACTACAGTTCTAATTATTTGGAGTCTATAAAAAGAACGGGTATGTGCAGTCAAGAATTAACCTTACCCAAAGGGAGGTCTGGACTTTGCTCTTGGCTCCTGGGAAGTGATCTCTATGACCCTGAAATGTCTTGCCCCAAGTATCTTTGGGGCCTTTGGCCACCAGACATTTTAACATGATTTATGATGGGGGTTTTGATCCATGCTGTATTAGTTTAGACTCTGGAAGAGTGGGAGACTAAGGACATTAAGTCTGACCTCCAGAAGGGGCTGGGGACTAAAGGTCAGCCACAAGGGCAGTATGAGATTGAGCCCCAATAAAGACTCTGGATAACAAAAGCTCAGGCAAGCTTCTCTAGTTGGCAATTCTTGGAATATTGTCACATATTGTGGCTGGGAGGAGGTAATTATGTCTACAGGGTTCTATGTTTGGACCTCTCCTGGACTCTGCCCTATGCATCTATCTCCTCCCTTGGTTGATTTTAGTTTGTATCCTTTCACTATAATAAAACCATAACTGTAAGCATAGCACTTTCCTGTGTTTTGAATTGCTCTAGGGAATTACTGAATGTAGTCATAGGGCTCCTAAATTTGTAGCCAGCTAGTCTGAAGTGAAGGTGGTTCTGGGGACCCCTGAACTTGAAGCTGGTGTTGAAATGAGGACAGTCTTGTGGGGACTCTTCCCTCAGATTGCCTTTTGGCTAAACTCACTGACAGTGATGGTGAAAGAGAGGATGATAAAAGATGAGGTAAGATTTGGGCATGATTCATAATGCGTCAGTCTATGAAATTGATGAGTTTAGGGGCTTATATTTGGGAAAACGTGGATTTAGGGAATACTCCCCCAGACAGGATGTAAGAGATCAAAATTCTGACAGAAAGAAAAATGAAATCCCTTTGAAGAGGGAATCTCACTTCAGACCCACTCAGAGTACTGCTAGAGTGAACTTAGGCAAATTACTTCAAGCCTTAGTTAAATGGAGCTATATATAAAAAAGTGATGATATATGTGGAAACATCTTAGAAATACCATATGTAAATATGAAAAAACAAAATGCCCTAAACATTTCAGAAATATCTGAATGTAACTGTTACAAACTGAGTTATACTGGAGAAGTCAAGACTTTCTTGATTATTTTCCCTCTCAGATTAGAAAGTTATTTGGCTAAGATTAAAAATTTCTCATATTTCTGTATTCAAAACGTTAACTTGATTTGCAATCCAAGTTATCTTTAATATATTTTTCTGTGTGTGTGTGTTCCCAAGCAAAGGACATTTAGATCCAAAAAATTGGGGTGCTTAAGAAAAGCAGATATTTCAATTTTTCCCCAAATTTCCTATCGCCTCCCAGTGAGTCTGATTTGTCTCTCTTCCGCTTCTCGACGTCATGGGTTCAAAATTCTCAGAATATAACATTTTGACATGGTGCCTCGGCGGAAAATGGATTTTTCTTAAGTAAAGGTTTCGGGGTGAACGGTCTTAAGAGTTTTAGCAGGGGCAGCGTAGTCGTGCTTCTGGAGCGCAACCTCCAGGGGACAGCACCGGGAGCGCCTCAGGCCCGTGGGGGAGTCGGGGGCGTTTGGGGGAGCTCCTCCCGTGTTGGAGGCAGTCTGGGACGGCACCCCAAGTGGCTGGGCCCGAGTGAACCGGCGCGCTGGGCCTCGCTTGGAAGTACAGGGCCTGGGAAGGGCCAGGGGAGGCCCGTTTCCCACCTGGATTAAGATGGTTCCAACAGGGTCGCACTTATCAGTCTCCTCAGTCAAGGTCAGGGCCGGAGAAGACAACATCTTCCCGCTGAAGCTCGGTTTCCCGGCGCGGAAACCTTTGGCAGGAGGCGGAGCTGGGGGGCGGGGGGAGCGGTGGCGGGGTGTACTCTCGTCCCCATGGCAACACCACGCTGGGCCAGGCCTGTTCCACGCTGGGAGCGGAAGGGAGGGGGAGGCGGGTCAGGGCAGCCAGTAAACGCGCTTTTCTTGGCGCGTCTCCCCCTCGCGCCGGCGGCCATGGTGCAGCCCAAGGCGGAAGCGGCTCCCTGACGGAACCGGCTCGCGGTCGCAGTTATGGCTGCGGGTGTCCCTTGTGCGCTGGTCACTAGCTGCTCCTCTACCTTCAGCGGAGACCGGCTGGTCCAACGTGAGTAGCGAGCCACCTGGGCCAACCTTCAAAGCCCTTGGGCCTCGGCGGGCGACAGCCCCAAGACCGCGGCCTCTTTCTGGGCCTTGGCCTCCCTGCGGGCACAGGGCTCTTCCGCTCGGTCGAGGTGCCCAGTCTCCCCAGGTGTCTGCCCCAGCCCTTAAAGTCGTTGCTTTCTGCCCACCTGGCCTACTTCTGCATTCCTTTCGGCTTCTTACGTAAAGTGACACTGAGCCCCTGCCCAGCCCAGCCCACAGGTTGTTGCGAGGATCCATTGGGATGAACCTAAAGGCTCTCTGGCTCATCTCAGTGAGTGCTGAGTTGCGTGAGTGTAAGGTGCTGGAATTGTTGATATTATGAGTTTTCTTGCCATTCTTGCTGTTGAAGTAGAGAGTATGTTTCCTCTGAATTCTTGGTTACCCCTTGATGTATATAAGACATGTTAGCTTTGTCCCCTCTACTGTGTAGTTATTCTCTAACTTGCCTTCCTGCTGAGGCGCCGGCTCTCTGCCAGCATTAGTTTTGGGATATTACTGGGCCTGATCAGTCTTTGCTTCTCAACCCTCATGGTGGCTGTCAAACTAAGCAACTCTTAAAAGAAACCCTGGACAAGAAGACCAATGTACTACAGAGCATGGGACTGGATCTTAGACCAACTCTACCACTGAACGGCTCTGTGAGGTTAAATTATGTATAACTCAAGACTTATATTTTAAATGTATCGCTTAGAATCAGAGCAGTGACTCTAAGCTGTGTGATCATGAGCCAGTCACTTAACCTCTGCCCTTAAGTTTTTCTCTCTGTGAAATGGGATCATTTTCACAGGATTGTGCTTAACTCAGAAGCTGGCACATAGTAAGCATTCAATAAATGATAGACGTTATTAAAGCACATCGCTATCTCTCTAACCCTGAATTTCCTGATCCTTAAAATGGGGCATATGAACCTATCTCACAGGATTGTTTGAAGGACAGGTGTCACGACACTTTGAAAGCACTCTGGTAACTATAAAGGATTGTACAGTAATACCTACACCTGTCAAATGACAGAATTAGGCAAGATGTCCCTCCAGCACAAATATTCTATGACTTAGTTATTGTTTGTGATCACTTAGAAAGTTCCTTGCTGGGGTAAAAGTTTAATTACAGCACTTGGTAAATGGTAACTAACTACTCTAATTATGCCGTTTCCTTACCTCTAAGCAGTGTTCATTCCCATTTCCTTCCGTCCTTCCTTTTTTTTGTTGTTGTTTCATTGTAAACCTAGTGCATACTCATTAAGTAAAATTGGGCATATGGAGAAAAGAAAATGTCAGGCATAGATAATCACATAACCCAAACACAATGCTAACTGTGCATATCCTTCCAGCCTTTTATTTTCAATGCATAGTTTTTAAGAAATAAATGATTAAATTTCATATTCAATTTTATCCTGATATTTTGTCCTAATATGTTTGATCCTAATATTTATCAAAATTGGTTCCCTTCATATACCCATCCAGTGAATGTAGCAGAATTTGCTCAAGATTGTTAAAAATTCTCAGTGTATTTAACATTCCAAAAGATTTTACATTTGGAGTCCCATTAGTGATATGTGAAAGTCTTTTGAAAGACAACCTCAGGAAAATTAAATATTCTCATGGCTATGGGTGCTCTATCATGTGCTTTAAGGATCAGAATAGGCCGAAGTGGTCACTGCTTTGATGGAGCAGATTAGCTGTAGTTGGCAAATAGTAGCATTGTATTTCTATAAAGTACATTAACATTATTAGGGGTAAAATTAATTCTGTAAAATAATCCATTTTATTTCTGTATGTAAAGTATCTCTTAGATAATTACAGCTTAGGTTAAAATTAGGTGACCTTCCTTTGCGACTCATTTGTTAGGTAGTGGAAGATGAAATAAGAATAGTTAGTGAGCTGATTACTTGAGTAAAGAAAAGTGAACCATGAAAGTGGGCTTATATTTCTTCCAAGGTCATGATTAGAGTAGCAGTGAATAGTATTAGAATGAAGTATTTGCTGAGCATTTATTCTTTTACCATAATTAAAGATTGAATTAAATTAATCATAAGTTGAGGCTAATTTTGGCATAAGGGATGAAGATTACCATAACATTTTGTCAAGTGTTCAGTGATATTAGGCCATGGTATAGTTTTGGGTTGAATCTGGTCTACCTTTTTGGGATGGTTTGGTTCCATTTCATGCATCAGCAAGAGAAAGCTCCAATTTCTCTTTCCTTCAACATCTATTCTATTTTACTGCTTTTAACCAACAATGGGAAATAGTTCATAACCAAACAACCAAGTTTGTTAGAAATGTGCTTAAAGAATCAGTAGGCTTCTACTATGGATAAAGTACATGCCTGGACTTTGTGAGATACTCCTTTTTTGTTGTTACTCAAAGGCCTTATTTTCAGTATTCTGGGTGGGTATCTGACATCAGATAAAAGGAGTGTTACTGACTTACAGTGTAGACTTTTAAAGAGAAATGAAGGCTCAGGATGCTTGAGGAACTTGTGCAAGGTTATATGTGGTGTGAGAGCAAGGGCCAGAGCTCTTTCCACCTCACATATGTTATGAACATTTTACTTTTATTCTGGAAAAGTGTATTCTGATAAATATTTATTAAACACACGGCTAGTCTCTGTTCCAGTAACTGCAGCTAAAATGATGATTAAGATACCATTCCTGCCCTGGAGGAAGATGTAATGAAAGTGCATGCTCCGTAGTGAAAATATTAAAATGTAGACACCTAAGTTTTAACATCTTACTTTCCTTCCCTAGAAGGAACTTTAGATAGAAAAGTTCCTGGAGACTTTTGGTTTTAAGGTATATAATGCCAACTTAGCAACTGTAATCCATTCAGTTTCTATATCTGAACAAACATCTGGAACATGTGGAGCAAAATTCTTTCTTTTAGTGAAATGTAGGTATTTGGAGATCTTATAGTCATAATAAGCATTTGTATGTATATCAGTACTCTTCCCAAGTATGTTTTCACATCATTTAATTTGGTCCTCATATCCCTGTGAAGGCAGGTTGTATCCATTTTACAGATGAAGAAACTGTCTTGGAAATACTAGGTGACTTGCCTAAAGTGCTCAGGTAGTAAGTACTGGAGCATATGTTCAAATTCAGGATTTGTGTGCACGGGAATGTATGAATGAAATGTGTTGGGATTCTGTAGAAGTCAGAACTATTTAAATTTAAAGTGGTAGCTTTAGTGTAAGAAATGATAGAGAAGATTAACCTCTAAAAGAGGGTTTTAAAATGTGCTTGCATTGCCATTTAGGATGAATGAAGTCTTAATTTTGAATGAAGAGGGAAAAAAATTGTTGCCCAGAGGACCTATATTGAATAGAGCATTATTTAATCTGTATAATATTAACTATATTAAACATATATTTAAAAGAGCTTTATGCATGCCTGATAGTCTTTAACAATGTCTGGATTTTTATTTTCCCAACTGAGTGAACTGAAAGTAGAGACATTATATATTGGTCATTCCTACTATATAAGATTAACATTAAAAATAAAGGTTGTTTCAGACAATCTCTAAAATCCCTTCCAAATGTAAAATTCTATGTTACTGTGTTAATTACTTGTTTTTATTTAAAATTATATAATGCTTCTTAACTTGACTCTGGCATTTTTAATTTTTTTTGTGTGTTTATTTTTTGAAAACTTAAGAATCAAATCTCATGTTAAGGTTGCAGTTAGACACTTGACTTGTGGAGTAGAAAATTTAACTTTTTGTGTTTGGAATTCAGATGCATTTACCCATAGAAACAATCCTCTGGTCCTTAGGTTTCTGATACTGCAGAACTAAAAAGTTCAATTATATGATGAGTAAACTAGGCTTTGGAGAATTACACAGGTGAAGCCTGCCGTCATTGATGACATTGCTTCTTTGGAAAGTATACGTTCTTCTGCAAGACCGGGTGTTTGTTTCTAGGTTTGTCAGACTCCTAAACTTACAAAAGAATCTTAAAGTAATTTACTAAGGAGAACATGCTTATTTCAAAGGTAGAGCCTATTGTATGGCTTTGCCACCAATCTCTAGCAACAAAATAGGGATAAGAGCTTTTGTCATCTACTTTGCATTTTTCTGCAGCTCCTTAAGGTATTCTGAGTGGAGCCTTTTGATCTACTCTTGGAATAAGTAATAATTTTTGCCTAAGCAAAGTTGCTCATTTTGTTGTGGTAAGAGAACTCTGCCATTGATTGGATTGTATATTTCCAAGTCTTTATTTTCTTCAAAGGATGAAAGATTGGGCCAGCAAGATCTACCACAAGGGCCTAGAGTTTTTATCACAGAGTGATTCAGTAGATGTTCAGACTAAAGTGGTGATTTCAGCTGGTGATGGTGGTAGGGGAACTAATTTTTTTTAGGTATTATAGTTGATATATTTTATTTTATTTTTATTTAATTGGTTTATTTTATTTTATTTTAGCATATTATGGGGGTACAAGTGTTAAGGTTACATATATTGCCCATGCCCCTCTCCCCCCTCTAGTAAGAGCTTCAAGCTTGTCAATTTTCAATTAACATTGAAAGGGCTTAAGATTTTTATGTTTATTAAAAGAGGGATATCACATCATCAATCCAAGGAGAAAGGAATACTTAAATATAAGTTTTATTCTCTCCAGACCCAAAAGGACTTAAAAAACACATCCACATTATGTTCTAGTATGTGTGTATGTGAAATTAAAGCTCAAAGAAGCTGTGGTTTCCCAAAGT